CGTCTCCCTTCCCGCCTATCCATTCTCGAAGAAGAGCTACGCACTCTATCCGGACACGCCTGGATATGCGAAACAGATGGAACCCCATCTTGGACCACTGAACCACCGGTATCTCAGAATCAACAAGGATACGCATCCGGTCCTTGCAGAGCATGTCATCAGAGGAGAGCCAATCATGCCCGCGGCGGGATTCATCGAGATGGTATTGTTTCTGTCTCTTATCCGTGCTATCAACTTCTCATTGTTGTGTGTCTAGGCCATCGAGTTTGGCGCCACTGCTCTTCTGCACGTTGACCTCAAGGCGATTTTGTCCCTTTCATCTGAGACCCCACCGGCGGTAGAAGTGGAGCTGAACTCGTCGTATTGGAAAGTCCAATCTGTCACGTCTCATGATTGGCACTCGGGCAAAGTAGGCATCGTTGGGACTCCATGCACAGTACATATAAGTAACCGATCCCTTTCACCCAGCAGCAGAAGCGCCTGCATGCGGATGGATACTTGACGTTCGAGCCATCTCAGCCTCTCAAAGATATAGATATTGCCACAATCCGACAGCGATGCAAAAACCATGTGGGCTCATGTACGCAGTTTTGGGGCTGTATGACAGGTTCAATACTGAATGGCGGATTCTGTACAGCGTTCTACTCGTCTCTCTCATACTTCTCTGCCTACGGCCCCCGACTGCGTCGCGTGACGAACGTCTATTACAGCGAGAAAGAAGCTCTCGTCTCCATCAAAGGGATGGATAATGCACTGAAGCAGTATGTTGTCCTTCTACCCTCCCGACTCACATACGTGACTTTGCCGTAGGTCTGGCAGATATCGATTACATCCTGCAATTCTGGATGCCTGCCTGCACATGACGGCGCACAGGCCTTTCAACGGCAACTATGATCAGAATGCGTATTACCTTCCTGCACACGTCGATGCAGTCCTCCTCCACCGCAATCTTGCTGAGGAACAGCTGCCGCATCATCTCTATGCGCATGTCGTCCTCAAAGAATGGTGGCCAGGTAGTACCGTCCTATTCATGTTTGAAGGACAACAGCTCACCAGGGTATCATTAATAGAACAGATATGTTACGACATTGCGCTCGTGGATGATTACGGACAGCGTATCTGCTCCCTGCAATCACTTATAGTGGCTAAACATCACATCGATCCATTACCCGCCGTGCAACGGCCTCTACACCTTATCTATCAGCCTGCATTCTTTGCCCCACAGCAACCAACCCCTGCTTCCCTATCGTGCAATGATCCGCTGCGAATCAAGCTGGATACGATTAACTGTTATGTGAGCTGGTTAGCCTGTGCATCAGTGCTTGGTTGCTAATTTGCAATAAGGCTGATTCTCATTCGCTGGCGTCGGCTCTGAAATCAGCTGCACTCCAACAGGGGGCGGCTTTGCAACGTGCCGTGACATCCTTGGCTCGAGATGCCCCTCAGCGCGTAGTGCGAGTCGCAATCGCTACAAAAGGTGACGAGTAGTTCTATATGTCACATCCGAGCTTGTGCTGAATGCTGCCGCAGAACGCGAACTCGTGTCATACCTGATCACTGTCCTCAACGAATTTCCTGCATTGTTCTTCGAGATATTCGTCGGTAACGAAGAGCAACGGGAGCTGTATGCGTCACGCGTGCAGTCTGGTGTGGTTCGAACTGCAGACCTGGATAAGGTGCTTACGGGCGAAGACCTCCCGGAACATCCATATTACGACATCCTCGTTGTCTTCGATCGATCATCCGGCGAGGATAGATTCCGCTCCATTTTATTGCGCTGCAGTAGCTGCGTGGTGCCGGGAGGGATTTCTGTTGTGACAGCACAGCTGCACGGATCTCGTGGATACCAGGTCGAGGAATCCATTCGAGGGCCATACGAGCAACTGGGCATGGCCGTCCTCGGCAGCAAGCAGGGCAATTCTTACCCTCCGTCCGCTACAACGATTGTTAGTCAACGTATAGACCATCGCTCCACCACCGACACCACGCTGTTCGCCCGCGACGCGCTCATCTTCGCTTACAGCCACGGCCAGGAGATGACTCTTCAACAGTATTTCAGGAACTTGGACTCGTCCGAAGAGCTGGACGTATGGATTCTGGCAGCCGCAGGCCGCGACAGCGGACGCGCTTCCGGTCTCCTACGTGCTCTTCGGCGCGAGTACATCACTTGGACCATACGGCTTGTCGTCTTCCCACCCTCATTCTCCGAGCAACAGAGGAATGAGTATCTTGTGAAGATACCAGCCATAATGCGTCAAGAGCCGGAGATACTGGTTTCTCCAGAGGGCACATTTCTCGTCCCTCGGTTAGTCCCGATACCACCTATTCTTCCAGATCCAGTTTCGGAGCAGAAAAGCTTCCCTGGAAGTGTCCCTCTAGACAAGGTGCCAGTGGACGTATGTTCTTCGTGGACGTTTAATAGTTGTGCGGCAATCCTCGGCATTGTCAACGGGACGCAGTCGCCTATGCTACCAGCGGGCACATGCGTGGTGGGCGTCCTCGACGGCGTCCCTGTACAGCCATCCATCATCCACGCGGACCTGGTATTGCATGTGTCCCCCGACGTGCTCAGCTTGGCAGCCGCTGGCCCCGCCTGCCTCCTGGGATTCCTCTCCGCGGTTCTCGCTCCCGGACTATCTACCTTCCGACGTCTGCAGCGATTGCAGTCCATGCGCATCCTGCTGACGCATGCTGATTCGCCAGTTGGACGAGCTATCGCATTCCTATACTCTGTGCTAAAGGTCGAGCACGTGAAACTCGACCAGAACGCCAGCATGCTTGACCTTGCCCGTGTGGGCAAAGGGAGCTTCCACTTGATCATCTCTGGATATGAGGGCACTGACGCAGGCCCAATCACTTTCATGCGATCTCTTCTGCTCCAAGGCGAAGGGAGGATGTTCCTGTGGAATACGGAAGATGAGGGCGTCACCAACATTCTCCGAGCAGATCCTTGCACAGTTCAGGATGCTCTCGCGGTCGTTGTCCCCATGCTGGAAGAACACGTAAAAGACCTTCAACCCGTATCGTCCTCTCCTGTCGACACCAAATCAAGTGACGTCGAGGTATCATCGAATATGCGGGATCGCGCCACGCTCTTCGACGCAAGTAAAGCTTATCTCATAGTCGGCGGGATCGGGAACGTTGGAGCACATCTCTGTATGTACATGTATGAGGTAAGGTGCTTGAATTGTGTGCAAGACGACGTCTTCCTGATCACAGTCACTCTAGCGAGGCGCACGGCACATGATCGTCACGTCGCGCCGTGGGCGGGCAGGGTTGCAAAATAACACAAATCCGACAGTGCAACGCCTGTTTGAGTACATGGAGACACTCGCTGATCTCGACCTCCGCTTGGAAGCTGTCGATGCTATCTCAGTAGCCGACATGTCTCGCCTGATGAAATCAGAAGCTCTGGAGATTGGCGGATGCATCATCCTAACTGCAGTGCTCGCAGATCGTACCTTCCAGCACATGACAGAGGCGGATTTCTCGGCAGTCTTCGCCGCGAAGGTTGGCGTGCTGAAGACTATACAGCACGTGATTGACGTCGACCATGCGGACTTTGTGGTCGCTTTCACATCTATGTCCGGCTTGTTTGGGTTTGGTGGGCAAACCAATTACGGGGCGTGAGTGCATCTGATACTCTGCAGTCATCGAGCACTCGATAACGTGTTACAGAGCAAATACCGAACTAGAGGAAGAACTGGCTCAGATCCCAAATGCTTTCTCCTTTGTATGTCCCGGTGTGTTGGATACGTCACTGATGCTGGCTGGCAACGATATGGCCGCGCGCCGCCTGGGACATGCGGTCGAATGGTCATTCTCTGCGGAAGGTGAGTAGGGACCTCGATAGTCAGAAGTGTCTTTGATATGACCCTCTCTATCCAGAGATGGTCTTATGGTTCGACGACGCGATGTGGCGACATTACAATCTGCAACGCTTCAGTCGTTACGTGCCAAATATGGACTGGGACGCTCAGGATCGCACGCATGGGATGACGATGTTAGGGCAGCATCTCCTGAGCAGTCAAGAACCAATCTCAACGTCCTCGGAAAGTCGTGGCGACCAGATCACGGAGATCGTACGGAAGACGCTGAATGTTGCCACGAATGACCTATCCGATGACACACCGCTAACAGCATACGGCATTGACTCGCTGTCGGCGGCAAGACTGTCACTTTTGCTCCGTCCATACGTCGAAGTGTCTCAGCTGCAGCTGTTGGCCAACGTGGCAGTAGGTGACCTAGTGCGTCGCGCGTCACAAGCACCTGCCCAAAATTCCTCCTCCGGCATCGCAGGAACAGGACCACAGAAAGAGCAAGTCATGCAAGATCTCGTTGCTCAGTATGCCCCTAACGCACATAGCTCCGTGGTCCCGAGGAGCGCCACAGTGAAGTCTCAGGGACAGACATTTATAGTGACTGGGACGACAGGCTCACTAGGGTGCCACATACTGTCTCATCTTCTCTGCCGAGATGAGGTGAAATTGGTGTATGCCCTCAATAGAAAGTCGGCTGGTGAAACTTCCATTCAGGAACGGCAAGCAGCGGCATTCCTTAATCAAGGCCTTGCCAAGTCTCTTGTAACGTCTCCAAAGCTCGTGCTGGTGGAGTGCGACCTGTCCGCTTCCGACTTCGGTCTTGAGGGTCCCACAATCGACGAGGTGAGTCGTTCTCGACCTTTCGGGTCACGTTGCCAACTAGCTGTTGTAGCTTTTATCTTCTGTCACGCATATCGTACATAACGGTTGGTGGTCGTCCTGAACTACATTTTTCCGCCACTGAGATTCATGTTTTAGCCTGGACTGTCGATCTGTACTCCCCATTGGAACGGTTCGAGAGCCTACTGGATGGGACACGCAGACTACTTGAGTTGGCAAGTCGCAGCAGGCTACCTACTCCGCCGTCCATGTTATTTGTCAGCACGGTGGCTGTCTATCAAGGTAAGGGGGTACTCTATATGAGCCGCTGGCCGGGTTTAACCAATTCTTTGTTGGAATATGCCAGACTACGACCCCACACTTCCAGCCCCTGAAGAACCTGTTCTCTCGCCCGAGGTTGCTGTCCAAAGCGGCTATACAGAATCCAAATGGATAGCAGAGCGCCTCGTCCAAACGGCAGCCCAGTCGCTTTCCCTGAACGCTAGCGTGATACGGGTCGGTTTGTTGACCGGTAGCGTGAATGGCTCGTGGGATACCAATCATTGGTTCCCTGCGTTGGTACAATCTGCAGAGTATCTTGGCTGTCTCCCTGAAGGACAGGAGGTGGGAGCGCCGCACACATGCCACTGCGTAGGTTGCTGACAACTGGGCTGTAGATCGTATCGTGGATACCTGTGGATCTCGCCGCCGCTACCATCGTTGATATGTGCGATATTGCAGCGGATACGCTACACCTTGTCCACCCGCAGCCGGTCAGATGGAACGCCATCATGGAGCCACTTGCGTCGAAACTCAATGTCCCTCTGGTCCCGTACGTTGAATGGCTTGCTCGCCTTGAGAGTCTGGCAGAAGATGGAGATGTGCATGCCACGCATGCGGGCAAAAACGACAAGGCAGCGCTACGTCTTCTATATGTCTACCGAAAGGCCTTGGCGACGCCGGAGCGACTGGAGGAAAGTATGGGTTTGATGCCACGGGTTGCCATGGACAAAGCTGTACGTATCTCGCGTATTCTTCAGGAAGGGAGCACACAGCAGCTGGGACCGGAAGATGTAGACAGGTGGCTCTCATATTGGCGTGTTACGGGATTCATGCGCAGCAGCTGAAAGGAGTACTACTTCAATATATAAAGCTTTGTCCATGCAACCGGGTCCGGGCTTCCTGAATACTTACTCCGAATGAAAATCACAGGCGATATTGTCGTAGTCATATGTGATATATTGCTAGTTGGCGATGCATGCGTTATACATATAAAGGCTAATTACTGTTTGCGCGCGGCTATGCATGACAGCGTAATGTATGATCACCATATATCACTATACATGAACACGACACCGTCATGTATGCCGGCCAACCTATTGAAGTAACCAGTCATCTGTTAACAAAGCTACCGGTCATATATGCCAGCTCATTTACAAAGCCACTGCCCGTCAAACTGTCATACATGACCTGGCCTCGCGCCTCTAATTCAGCGCGAGCGCAGCGTCATATATGGCGCCGCCTGACCTGCCATTTTGGCGTCAGTGCCCTGCTCTCTGCCAGTTTGGGAAGCTGCATGGCGCCGGCGCGCCCCGCATTCCACGAGCGTGCCATTATATACGACGCCGCGCCACCCGCATATCGGCAGCGGAGCTTTGCTCTCCGACCATTCGCCTGACGCCTAGTAGCGCGTCCTCGCAAGGTCATACTTCAGTGAATCGTGTTGTTTGTCCCTCCTGTGTGATGTTATACCTCGTCAGGCTCGGATAGGCAAAGTGTGTGGGCTTACGCACCAAATTGTGCAAATGGATAGGACCAACTACTCAGGAGAGCAGCTACACACGGACTCTGTAGATATTAACGGACTCTGCTCGAACGTAGTACAGGCTCTGACTCACCTTTCGGACTTAGCCGCGCTGTCTCGGATTTAGCCGCAGGTACTTAGAATGGTTCGAACGCCTCCTGTACCTCTTTGTCGAGCCAACGCCAGTATTCGGGCCTCCGCCCGTGTTGTTCGCGAACCCTTCGGTCCTTTCTCGTCGTAACGGCCTTCGCTTTTCGACTCGCCCGTTACAAGCAGGAGAGCAATATGATAGGGTTGCTGAGGTACCACACCCATTGTCGGAAGATATATGTTAGCCAACTTGTGGGCGCAGTCTTCGGGGCATCCATTCGACACAGCTGTCAAGAACGGGGATATTGAGTCCCAATCCGACTTTTCTATCGCCGTATATCATATACTCACTGACAGAAGACATGCGCAAACAAGATGGTGTCGACGGCCCGATCCGAGGCCTATGGCATCAGCAAAACCGGATCCGGCGAGTAATAGTATACATGGCAGTGCAATCAATGTAATTGGGCACCATTATTGGAGCACGGGGGCCAAAAGGTTATAGAGGCGAGTCCGCTTTGGCCATAGACACAATCATTGCAATAGGTACAATACTGGCGGCTATTGGCAAGATGACATATAACTTGCATCACCTGGTATAATCTTATAATGTTATGTTCGAATGGCAAACATTGCTTGCCTAAACAGGCTCACTTACTATTGCCTCATTGTGGTTCTCCGGGGTCCTCACAAACAAATCAGGGCAAAAATATTACAAAACATGTTTATTTGCTCATAATAATACAGGTACTATTATTATGGGTGCGCTGATCCACAAGTTCTTGCATGATCCAGCTGCCCACTCCCATAAACGTCAAGCCACAAGCTGTGCTCCTGATGCATTAGTGACTATACCTGCTCAGGCTGGTGCTGCCGCTGTCTCAGCATTTTGCTTCAATGCAGCATCAGGACATTGTTGGAACAACGGTGCGAACGGTGCGGGGCGCGTTTGTCCACGGGCGTAGCGATGCCCATAAGGGACAATCGCGTGCGGTACGTACATCGCGCGGGGTCGTTATATACTACGATAGGGGCCTCCGGCCCCCGGTTACTCGCGCGCCCGAGCTTGCGAGCTCATTCCTGAATGCGTGCTTCAACACACTCCCTCGAGCGCAGCAAGCGAGTGCTCGCGCGCACTCCCCACTTCTCGACACTTGGCACTCAGCACTCCCTCAAACTCAGCATCCATCGACATGCGGCAATCTTCATCAACTCCTCGGCTCGGCATCAACTTCTCGACTCCAGGTTCAGTGCTCTCGACGAGCGGTCCAGCGGTTCGACGGTGCTCTCGGCGAGCGGTTCGGGTACAGCGGTTCAACGGTGCTCTCGGCGAGCAATTCGGCGGTTCGACGGTTCGGCGGTTCGACATTCGACGGTGGGGTTCAATCAGGGTCCGCGTCAAGGTTCAGCAATCATACGGGTTCAATCGAGATGGCTTCGGCCCCATCCAGGCAAGTGGTGATACGACCTACGAAACCCTAACCCCTAACCTGGGTGTGACCTAAAGGGACTAGAGAGACGGATTATAGTCTTAGTGAGAGGGGAGTTAGCAGCAAGGTGTCCCGCGGTTCGAGTGAACACGAGAAACGCCTTCAGAAAAGGCTACGAACGCTAGGGAAGGTACGAGGTGGCTCGACACGTCATCGAAGCTACTCGGAGGCTGTGGGTGGTTAGTGGAGACGATCGAAGCTCGGCAGAGCTCTTCGATGTATCGTAGAGGGAAGAGACACGATTCGATAGGGTGGACTTAGCTAGGACGTGGTTCGAGGTGCAACGCAGTTCTTCGACAATAGCCGAAGTCGAAAGGTTCGTCGAGACGGTATCAACGAGTAAACGCAGTAGACGAGGTTTCGAGGTTACGCAGCGAGGAACAAAGTGACGCAGTTAAGGGCTTAGACGCAGGGCGAACTCGACTTATGAGCTCTGAACTCGAGGGGGGAACCGGATCTTGTATTTTTTGGAGAGAAGTACAACAGATTTTATACTACGCATAGGACGCTACGACTATCGAGAGTGGCACACTAGTACAAGGGGCTTTGCATTGTCCCGCACGAAGCTGCCTCACCGAGTGGCACCTATCAAGTCCGTCGGTAGAGTGACGTCATGCCGAACGCGGAGATGAAGAGAAACATGCGAGACACTTCGGACCGGTGTCCGTCGTTGAAGGCATGCCGCGAGGTTCGATACCTAATCGGGAAAGACCGGCTACGTCGGTGTGGCATGGAGCGATGCACGCGCTTGGCCGACCGGCGTCAAGTGGCCCTATTGTCCGCCGAATGCGGGAGATGTCCCGAGATCTACGCGCGAGGCATCGGAACGACCGTGCCGAGCTTCGAGTAAGCGTCGCGCACCGTCGAAGATGTCGAAGAGCGTCGAAGGCGAAATCGAAGTGTTGGGTGACTGAGTCGAAGTGCCGGGCGGGATGTGACTGCCGAAAAGAGGTGTATCGGGGCCCAGAGGGGCTTGGCGCCTATCAGCGGTTCGGCAGCGACGGCGGTGGGAATATTCTGCGGTGCAGCGGCGACCAGCAGAGCGTCGACAGCGACGGCATGAGCGCGGGATCCGGCGACGCAGCGAGCGGCGGGCTTCAAGCTGCCCCCAGAGCCTTGCTAGGTAGTAAACCCCCCAGCGGGCTGACGCGATTGTGTTGGAACAACGGTGCGAACGGTGCGGGGCGCGTTTGTCCACGGGCGTAGCGATGCCCGTAAGGGACAATCGCGTGCGGTACGTACATCGCGCGGTGATAGGCGCCAAGCCCCTCTGGGCCCCGATACACCTCTTTTCGGCACTCGCATCCCGCCCGGCACTTCGACTCAGTCTCCCCACAGTTCGATTTCGCCTTCGACGCTCTTCGACATCTTCGACGGTGCGCGACGCTTACTCGAAGCCCGGCACGGTCGTCCCGATGCCTCGCGCGTAGATCCCGGGACATCTTCCGCATTCGGCGAACAATAGGGCCACTTGACGCCGCTCGGCCAAGCGCGCGCTTCGCTCCAAGCCACACCGATGTAGCCGGTCTTTCCCGATTAGGTATCGAACCTCGCGGCATGCCTTCGACGACGGCTACCGGTCCGAAGTGTCCATATGTTTCTCTTCATCTCCGCGTTCGGCATGATGTCACTCTACCGATGGACTTGGTATGTGCCCCTCGGTGAGGCAGCTTCTTGAGGAACAATGCAAAGCCCCTTGTACTAGTGTGCCACTTTCGA